GAATTAGTATAATAATAATAATAAACTGCCTTTATTTCCAGAGTAAAGAGAACAAACAATAATAATAGTAACTATAGTTACTATAATGCAAAATAAAGATAATCAAAAAAGAAAAAAAAAACAATATTTAAAAAGAAAAATAACTTAAATACAAAACAGGTGGAAATCCTAAGGCGAAGTTCAGAATGCGACCATAATATGGCCCGCTTCTGCTCTTCCACTTAACCTTAAAAATAATTGCACTTTTATTCAATCGTAGTACATGCCTACTCCTAAAAACTAAAACTATTAATTGATTCTGCATTATAATCTTCATTTCACTTATAATCTATCTTATATATGAGCTAATAAAATAAAAAATAATATAATGAAATAAAACAAAAACAAATTATTCCACTTGCATTAAAATTAGATTGATCCACCATAAAGCAAACAAGAAGTCACTGTCGCTCAAATAAATGCCTAAACAATAACGTTCTGAAAGCACCCTCCCTGGTGACGGGGATAGAATTATACAGCTTATAGGCACAGTAGCTAAACGCACGACAAAACAGAGCTGTAAACTGAGCAGGCGGATTAACAACATTTTTATTTCTAATATTTATACTGTGTAGATCCCCTCTAAACTGAATCTTTTTACTCATATAATTAGGCGAGCCAGTTGTGACAACCTTGTGATACAGCACTCAAACCTGTAGAGTATAACGATTGTGAATATTCAGCCAAGTTAACTCTTTAAGCTTATGAGAGATTCTTTAAAATTTTTTAATTGTGAATATACAGAGTGTCCCGTTAAGCGTACGGAGCGGCTGTATCTCAACAACGGTAAGGCCTAGAGGTTTGGGAAAAAAATCCTTATAAGCAAAGTGGGCAAGAGAAATAGCTGGAAATTATTTTGAAGTTCGTAATTCGACCGCTAGGGGGCGTAACTGCCATAGAGAAACATAAAATTCCCGCTATCTCAGAAAGTTAGACGATGAGCTATAACTTTGACAACATCATTTAGTAGCTTGGATAATACTGCATCGCTTTTGTTTCGCGATATTTCTCATATCTGTCATAATAAGGGAGGGGGAGGCCAATGCGTTTTCAAATGTTTACATTTTAATATCTCCTGGACCATTCAACCGATTTGAATATTTTTGGTCTTGTTTGAAAGAGCATTTCATGCTCTTTTAAAAGATATTTTCAGTAAGACCGCTTGGTTTAAAACAAATAAGCTAGAGGGCGTTATCTGCAGCGGTTACATATTTTTGTGATTTTTGAAAAAAAGTTAAATGGAACGGTACTATTTACTTCACAGACCGTTAATCACCATAAAATTTGCTAAATATTAGTGAAAACCGCATCTCGATATCTCCATCCATTCTCGAATTATAAAAGAAAATGTTAAAAATTCGTATATCTTAATCGGATCAAGTTACCTTAGGAAACAAATAAGAGAGAACAAAAATTTTATTATCTAGAACCTTCCTTCACACTTTATCCAAGCTTAGAACTGCTTCAAAACTACTTTTGAGGCGTGTTGAAAAGCCAACGGATCAATGAAACATCAACAATGATAATAAAACAAAATAAACCAAAACACTTAGAATAACTTAAATTTTTGGCAAAAATAACTCACTAATGTGCGAAATGCCTTCCATAAACCTCGATGCATTTATTTAATCTAGTTTCGACGAAAAAAAAGCGCTGCTTAAGTCTCGGCCCTGGACACGTTTCTACTGGTATTTAGTGTTTTGTCATATTTTCCCTGGTTATTGGTTTTTCTTGAAAAGTCAGGTCGTTTAGTCTACCCAATAGATAAAGGGGTGAAAGCAATGTGGGTTTTGCTCGAACCAAGAATGCATATTATGCAAGTTTACATCAGCTTGTGGACAGATGCTTCATGCATCCATAGCATTTGTGATAAAAGGTTTGGATTTGCCCAAATCATATTTAAAAGTCAATGGTAATAGTTCAGTCTGTTATCATAATCGGTATCTGTTAAGGCCTGATGTAAAACAACGTGGTAGAGATATTATTCTCTTGAGAACTCTTGTGGACAATTGTTTTCGGAGTTCCCAGATTATGTGGGATCACATTGCGCACCAATGTGATTTACGAATTCATAGAGATGTCTGAATGGGCTACACGTCGCCAGTTTTCCGTAATCGCTAAGTCAATCTTAAAAACACTTCTAGAGAAAAATGTCTTTCTTTGTCGTAATTACATTGCACATTTTTGCCATGCAGTTGCATCGTATTCGAAACATTGAAAATAAATCATCATACGCTCTATCATACGCTTCTGCGTTAGTAAATGGCATGTTTGCAGTTACCATGGTTATGTGATTTGTTTTTCTCGATGAGGTAACTAGATCCGATTGATGGCACGCGAGTTTTTAACATTTTCTTGTATAACTCAAGAACGGGTGGCGATATCGAGATGCGGTTTTCACTTAAATTTAGCAAATTTTAAGGTGACTAAGGGTCTGTGAAGTAAATAGTATCGTTCCATTTAACTTTTCTTCAAAAATCACCAAAATATGTAATCGCTGCAGATAACGTCCTCTAGCTCATTTGTTGTAAAGCAGACGGTCTTACTGAAAATATCTTTAAAAAGAACATAAAATGCTCTTTCAAACAACACCGAAAATATTCAAATCGGTTGAATGGTCTAGGAGATATTAAAATGTAAACATATGAAAACGCATTGGGCTCCCCTCCCTTATTATGACAGATATGAGAAATATCGCAAAACAAAAGCGATGCGGTATTATCCAAGCTATTAAATGATGTTGTCAAAGTTATAGCTCATCGTCTAAGTTTCTGAGATAATGGGAACTTTATGTTTCTCAATGGCAGTTACGCCCCCTAGCGGTCGAATTACGAACTTCTAAATAATTTCCAGCTATTTCTCTTGGTCACTTTGCTTATAAGGATTTTTTTCCCAAACCTCTAGGCCTTACCGTTCTAGAAATACCGCCGCTCCGTACGCTTAACGGGACAGCCTGTATATCTCATGCAAGCGTTCTGCACTCTTTGCACTCTCAATCTATCCATGGAACCCAAACATGAATAGTAGACAGGAATACAATAATTAAGCAAAGACAGTACAAAACATTCACAAAGAGTAATTTTAATTTCAAAAAACAAACACTTAATGTTTTAGTAATGTGCTGTTTGTACCTAAAGGCATTATCAATAACTAGCCCAAGATTCCTTGCCTGATCAACAATAGGTATATTGCAACCGTTCAACCTAAGAATCAGATTAACTTTCAATTTCTCGACTTCCACATTTCTGCCAAACAGAATAACTACACTTTTATCAGGGTTTAATATCAAGGCGTGATTCTTTGCAAATTCGCTGACATTCGCTAAGTCCTTATTAATTTTCCATGCTACCCCCTCATATTCACGAAACGGAAAGTTGTAGTATAGCTGAGTGTCGTCAGCATACATATGAATTTTACAATAATTGACAGCTTTTGGAAGCATAGATGTGTATAAACAAAACAGCAAAGGACCTAACACCGACCCCTGCGGTACTCCACGCTTCAGCTTCAATGGTTCAGAAATTAAGCCATTGACCTGTACACATTGGCATCTGTCTATTAAATACGTCTTAATCAACCTTATAAATTCCTCCCCGCCTCCAATATAGTGAAGCATCGACAGCACAATATCATGGTCAACAACATCGAACGCTTTGCTAAAATCCAAC